CTATACACGAACTTTTATCGCTGGATAATTTTGCGACTTTTCATCCAATTCAATCATATATATGCTCAAAATCTTTGCGGTAAGTTTCGCTTTACCATAAAATTTGACCAAATAAGTTTCAAAACAATGCGACGGCAAAAGATGCAAAAATCCTGATTTTCGTAATAGAATTTATAGTCTTTTTGCCCTGTTGTACCGCCATCTTGGATTTATCATGTAGGCCCCGCCTGCGCTAGGTATGCGTTAGCAATCTAGATCTCCTATATCTATGCTTGAATCGGATGGTCAATTCCATAATCCCATTGGTCTTTCCAAAACGCATTAATTCTCTTGTAGTATAATTTATTCAAACAACTTTAGTGCTTTAAAATTTTTTGCCTTCAAAACATACGGCAAGAGTATAGTCAAGATTCACTTACACATTTAATTTTGTTTAATTTCAAATAAATTAGCATATCAAAACACCCAGAAGTTCTGTGTGCATGTGACCAGCCGATCCCAGGGCCATTTTCGCTGACCTTCAGCCGTACAGGTGAAATGTCCTTGGGACGAGGTTGATGTGGCTTCAACTATTAACAGTCGATTGTGTAACGATTGTATCTATATATCTATATATCTATCTATATATCTATCTATATATCTATCTATATATCTATCTATATATCTATCTATATATCTATCTATATCTCTATATATCTATATATATCTATATATCTATATGTCTATATGTCTATATATCTATATATCTATATATCTATATTATAAATATATATATATAAATTTTGAATTTAGTCATAACCTCAAGTGATATATTGTACGCATTAGTTTTGAGCGCGTGTCACGTGACATACAGAAAAATCTCCTCTTAATAACTTCGTTGCTTCCTAATTTCTACTTTTTTGCCAATTGAAAGTAATTCCCCATTCCGAAGTTGATGAGAGGACTGGGGACGAATGTTAAAAAGTGTCCAAATTAATATATATATATATATATATATATATATATATATATATATATATATATATATATATATATATATATATATATATTATACACTATATATATATTATACACTATATATATATATATACTATATATATATATATATATATATATATATATATATATATATATATATATATTTAACAATTATACCATGAGCTCGAGTCGTATATGAGCTGATAGCCGACGAGGTGCGTAGCACCGAGTCGGCTATCAGCCATGCATATACGACGAGAGCGAATGGTATAATTGTTTTATAATATAGTCTAATATAGCCATTAACTGCATGAAGCAGTAATTAATTATTCACTGTTACAATGTGTTGACAATTTGTTCGGCCAAAAACCGCTTGAAAATTTGAAATACTTTTGTTTTACAACTCGAAGACGAAGTGAAAGAAATGGTTTTAGAACCTCTATATCTCACAGGAAAGCTCAGATATATTATACAGATGTTTGGTACTATTGTAAGTGCTTGTTGACTGCAAATTCATTTGTCGTTCATTGCAAACTTTTCTGAACAATTTATATTCTCAATGAACATGTTTTTTCGCTGTTGTTTCGGTATTAATTCTTTAAAAAAACTTGTATTTAAACTAATTTCTACGTAATAAATGTATTTTGCTAACCTGTCAAATTTTTTTTGAGAGTTTTTCCTTGTAATATTATTTTCTCAAAGCGAATATTTTCCTTTTTCTGCTTCGCAAAACTCATGTAGTTTTTGGACCGCCATCTTGTTTTTCGCTACTCGCCGTATATGAGCTGATATACGGCGAGTAATTCAACCAATCAGATTGCAGAACAGCTCATATACGGTGGATGACTATATTATAAATATATATATATATATATATATATATATATATATATATATATATATATATATATATATATATAGCTTAAGGTTTTGGTTTACGAAACACAAACAGTGCTCAATACCATATAGATAGAGCGTAATATAGTTTTTCGTTTTACCTCAAATAACCACAATATATATATATATATATATATATATATATATATATATATATATATATATATATATATATATATATATATATATATATATATATATATATATCTCTCTCTCTCTATATATATATATATATATATATATATATATATATATATATATATATATATATATATATATATATATATATATATATATACAGGGTGTATCAAAATAAACGCAATTCATCTTTTGAGCTTAATAACTTTCGAAATACTATCTCTAGTTAAACGCTTTTAGGCTTACTTCAAAGCCTGTTCTTTTCTCTTTCAAACAAACTATTATCCTTGTCTCCAATGCTAGTAATAATTGCACAGGAAAAGATTTAGTAAAACCTATCATTTTTAGTTGCTGTTTAATTATGCAAGTTTACTATATGTTATTGTTTAGTCGATTTAAATGTTAGAATTTTCTTCTTTAAACTTTAATGTTGTCGTCACTACATCTGGAAAACCACGTAAGAACAAATTAAAAGTATTTTAAAAGAGACCAGGTTGTTTGAAAATCCAAAACGAATGCTAAAAATCGTCAAAACATTCTGGTGTCTGAGCCAGAGTGTCATCGAATTGCGATGTAATGTAAACAGAAATTATAGCAAGTTGATGTCAGTCAGCTTAGATGGTCCAAGCCAAATTATATCGCATTTGAAGTTTCAAACTGAGTTAAAAATAGTG